AACCCCTATTCTTGGGGTGTGATTTAGAAAATATGGGTTGATATTCTTGTTGGGTCTTGCTTGTTGATAGGGTAGAATTCATTTTAATGGTTATTTCACCTAATGGTTGTGGTTTAATTTAATGGGTTTGTAGTTGCAAATATAAAACCACCCATGTGTTTTCGACTTGCCCGAGATGAAGGTCACGAAACCAAGACCACTAGACTGATGGCCTAAGGAGTAGGTCGACATGAGGATCAGATCGAGAGGGTGAGCCCTAGTCCCATATCCTAACACTCAGCTCGAGAGAGTGAGTAGGGTAAGGCGTAGGCTGGTCTTCATGCGGCAAATGGGTGTCCGAGAGGAAACCATATGAAATGGGGTAAGTTGCTCGAGAGGGAACTTATTTCCATCTAAAGCTTAGCCTAGTCACTCTTATCTTGCAAATTTCCTATTGAAAGTATGTACCGAACGATTTATTTCAACTTGTATTGCGGTCACACCCCAAGAACATGTCCCCATACTTGATTTTTTTGTTAATTTTTTTATTGTTTTTACTATTTGTGACGAAACCCCCAATTGATACTTGACACTTTCGTGTCACCCTCTTTAATTTACCATGTTTTTGTTCGTTAATGTCTTTAGCTACGACTAGTTAGAGCTTAATTTTGTTTTTCTATCAATTCTCAAAACCACTCCCTTGGGACACGACCCCAACCTTTAGTTGGGTTACTATACTATCGACAATCGTAGACACTCATACCGTAGGTTAGTGTCGTTGGTCACGATAAACATCAGCTTACCCCCACAATGAATGATAATGAACTATGGCTTCTCAAGAATGCACCACTTAGTGTGGGTGGGGGTATGGGACTTCATCCATGCATTGCACAAGTAGGCTTTGAGAGTAGTCATGGTGTGTTCCTCAATTGTTATAATGTCTTATGAATGAATATGCATATAATGTTGCTATTGAAAATGTTGATATGAAGGCTAAATGTGAAGATGAATGCTTAACTTGGATTGTTGCTATATGTTCTTTCCTTGCTATGACTTATTAAATGTGAATGTTCCTTGTTTATGAGTATGAACTATGCATGACATCAGAGAATGGTAATTATGATAATGGTGGCCTAAAAGTGGTACTTAGTGTAGATGGGATTATGGGATCTTAATCTATGCATTGCACAAGTATAGCTTAGGGCTACTTATGAGATGGTTCTATTATGTTATAATGAGTTATATGTTGAATCTGCTTGTGACTTATGCTTTTGTACAAAAGTTCATGATGATTCTCAAACTTGGCATATAGCATGGTTTTCAGCCAAAATGTCCCTTTTTGCATGTTTTCAAGGATTTTTATGCATGGTTATCATACTTGGTGCAGTTTTGTACTTTCCCCTATTTTCTACATTTTTCACATAAATGTGGGTTCCGATTCTTAGGGTGATCATCTAGTGGTTCAAGCTTGGATTGACTATTCTCCGAGTTTGTGGTAAGTCATCAAGATTCGAGGACGTATGAGTCATTTTATGTTTTGGATTATGTTGAAGGGTTGTGAACCTATTTTTTATTCAAAGATTGTATTAGATGACTAGTTGAGACAAGTTAGACTTCCGCTTGCTTTTACAAAAGACTTCGATTGTTTGGATAAAAAAATTAAATTCCGCATCATTTCTTTTATCTTATGTTTATGATATGCTAAGGGCTAGTATGAGACCTTTCGGGGTCAAGTATGTCGTGTTAAATCTAGGGTGTACCCTTGGGTCGTGACAAACTTGGTAATAAGAGCACAAGGTTTAGAATGATTCTAGGATGATGTCTCATAAGCCACGTCTAGTAGATTCTTGTTCATAGTGTGAAGCACGCCACATTTATGAATGAGAGGCTATATGATGTTAGGAAATTTCAATTTCTTTCATTACTCTTAAGTCGTGCCATAGAGTTTAGTTCTATAAAGTCCATTTCCTAATACGTCTTTTATGTCTTCGGGATATGAATACACGAAGGGCTAACAGAAAGAGAATGAAGGGTAACAATGTCAATGATGAAGCTCCACAAGAGAACCAAGCTCCTCAAGCTAATCAAGCACTAATTAATCCTCCGGCTATGTCAGATGTGGAAGTTAGGTTGGCTCTTCTAATATTGGCTCAAGCCATGACAACTCAAGACCAAGCTATGACGGCTAAAGACAATAGAGAGGTTTAAACTCATGTGAACCCTAATGTGACCTCTACTTCTTCTAGATTGAGGGATTTTGTTAGGATGAACCCTCCTGAGTTTCTTGGTTCCAAAGTGGGAGAGGATCCTCAAGAATTTGTGGATGAGGTTTACAAGATACTTAATGTCATTGGGGTGAATTTGGTAGAAAAAGTGGAGCTAGCTGCTTACCAATTGAAGGATGTTGCTCAAGTTTGGTATACTCAATGGAAGAGAAATAGGCCGGTAAGAGCAGGTCTTATAGATTGGGAGGTGTTTAAGAAAGAAGTTATTGATAGGCACTTTCCCCGTAAGTTGAGGGAAGCCAAGGTGGAGGAAGTCATTAACCTTAGGCAAGGTAGCATGAGTGTTCAAGAGTATGCCTTGAAATTTACCCAACTATCCAAGTATGCTCTATCTATGGTGGTGGATCCGAGGGATGAGATGAGTAGATTTGTGACAGGTGTGTCCGACTTAGTTGGATAAGAATGTCGTATGGCAATGATCCATGATAACATGAATATCTCTAGGCTTAGGGTGTATGACCAACAAATTGAGTCAAAACTCAAGAGAAAGAATAGAGAGATAAAAAGAGCTAGGTCCGATGAACAAGGTCAACCAAGGTTCAAAAAGAGGTCGTCCAACCAAGATTCTCCAATAGTCAACAAGTATTGGGTGTCTAACCCTAAATCTCAAGGAGAAAATAAAGGTGATTCTTCTTTTGAAAGATCTACATGTGCCAAGTGTGGGAAGCAACATTTGGTTAAGTGCCTAGTCGGCACAGATGGTTTCTTTAGGTATGGAAATAAAGGTCATAAGATGAGAGATTGTCCGACATTCATGGCAAAGGGGAGAGAGTCCAAGCAAACTTCTCTTAGTGATTTGGATACCAATGCTCCAAAGTATGGTCGCTTCTATGCACTCCGGTCTAGGGAGGACAAAGGATCCCTTCCAGATGAAGGCCTCGATATGTTGATAGTTACCTTTTGATGTAATGTTTTATTAAGATACCTATGATAATTGTTAGAATTTGATGTTAGCCTTAATAGGGGTTTACTCCCAAAGGGGAGATGGTATGCTTAGAAAGCAAGATTGTTGAGAGTTCTGATATCCTTATCTCTTTCTTCTATTCCTATTCTAGCTTGAGACAAAGAGTACCTTGTGACTTGTTTCATGATTTGGAGTCATATGTGATTTATGTGCTTCCATGATCTCCTTATGTTATGTATGTTCTTGATGAAACTCTTGTTTAGAAAGAAAATGAGTTTTCATGGTTTATGTCCCTCATGTTGTTATGCATTTTGTTTGAGTTGCCTATATGCTTCATGAGATGAATTGTTGAAAATGTTTTAATGTGCTTTTGAGAGTAATTGCTTAATTTGCTTCATTATGGTGAGTTGAGCATGCTTTGAGTAGGAGAAGGTAGCTCCTCCTATGAATATTGAAATGTTGAAGTTTTCATGCATAATGGGTTGTTAGATGTAGTTCCTACTTCCTTGTGTCTAATTGAGTATGTTGAGATGGAGTTGATGTTTCCTCCCTTGTATTGCTTTCTCTAGTACTGACTTAGCTTCAATAAATGCTCTTAAGAGAAGATTAAGAACCCAGTTTGGGCTGCTAGTCTTGAGTCTTTAATTCCGTAAGGTGTCTAGATCGTCATTGCTTCATAATCCGCTTGCTTTTACAAAAGACTTTGATTGTATGGATAACAATTTTTAAATTCCGCATCATTTCATTTATCTTATGTTTATGATATGCTAAGGGCTTGTATGAGACCTTTCGGGGTCAAGTACGTTGTGTTACATCTAGGGTGTACCCCTGGGTCGTGTTAGAGGCTCATATGATTTTATGTAATCCTTATCTCTATCTTTCTACCCCTACTCTGGATTGAGGTTGAGTTCCTCATGGTTTACTCTTTGGTGTCATGTGTCTTAGATATTCCCACGATTTCCTCATTTATGCATGTTCATGGAAAGGCTTAAGCTTTGAGAAAATGAGTCAACTTGATTGAATTCTACAATGTTTATGTGCATTTTGAGTATGATTCATATAGAATTCATGATATGATGTTTTGAACATGCTTTAGCTTCAAGTTGATGTTTCCTCCTCAGATTTGTTCATTTATATGATTGCATGCATGTTGGTTTGCTAGATTAAAGTCCTCTCATTCCAGTGATGTCTAGAATCACATTCGAAGATAAATGTTCCCAAGGGGGAGATAATGTAACACCTCGCACTACAACATTTTAGGCCTACGGCCACACTAATTCTGGACAACACTTTTAAAGTGTTGCCTAAACTACTTTTGGGGACGCTTTCAAAGCGTAGCCCAAGTTTTTAACTTTTAGCTTCGATATTATTGGCAACACTTGTAAAATGTACTGTTTAATGGTATAAGCTACACTTTACAATCGTTGTTACAATATGATATAATTGGCAACAACTATTTACATATATTGCCACACTTTTAAAGTGTCCTATTTTTATAATTGTAAAAACAACACATTACAAATGTAGCCTTAAAATTTTCACTAAAATATTATATTCCCTCCAACATTTTTAACTCTCCCTCCCATTTTAATTGGGCAAAACAAAATATTCATAAAACATTAAAATTTTCCTTTCCTCCAAATCAGAAAAAAGTCGGTCAAAGTGAAGAGCTGTAGAACACGCTGGAGCTGAAGAACACGCTGAAGAGCTGAAGCTGAAGAGCTCTAGTTCTCACTGATGGTCTCTAGTTGTCGCTGAAGATTTCCGTCCTAGTTCTCGCTGAAGATTTCCGTCAGGTAATTTAGAAAAATATATTGTCAATTTGAAGCACACGATTTTCTCTCCAAGCTAAGTCTGAACATACTTTGTTTATGTTTGAGAAGATTTGTATTGTTTTGGTGAGTCATTCTTCTCTGATCTGGTGTATTTTTTTGGAAATTTTATAGTGAGTATATGTATTGAGATTTGGGAATAAAACGTGCTTTATGTTTCTAGAATTGCAAAGCCCTGATCTGAATGATTGGTTTGCACAATGTGAGTATCTCTGTGTGGTGTTTTGCTGGATTACTTTGGGAATTTCAGATGTAGTTTGTAGTAGATCTGATGGGTATTTGGTTTCTTGATATGTTAGATCTTCCATATTTTACTTTTTGATTGTAGTTTTAGACTCAATTGACTTCCTTTTTAAGGTAATATGTGCTTGCAACTGTCAGATACAATGTCAAAGCTAAGAATTTTGCTTAAGGGTGTTCAAAACTTAGGATATATATCTAAAAAGTTATTTTTTGACCTATATACACAATATTATTTGCTATTAGTTGGCAATTGTTTTGATTTTGGGGTTGTGCACAAAAGTTGGTTGGTAGTTACTAGCATTGAAAGCATAAACAATTTAGTTTCTAGGAACAATGTCTGCTAAAGTGTCTGCAGCAGCACGCTGACACTTTTCTACAGACAGAGTTTGAATTAGTGGAAGAAGTGCTAAATTATTAGACTGGATCCACAGAAGTGTAACATGCTAACTGTTTGTTTTATCAGCTTTCTTGGGAATCTTTGACATAATTTCAACTTTTCGTTGGCCGGTAGTTATGCTCTTTATGTACCAAAACATTATGCTGTTATACAGTCCAAAAGGTTAATGAAAGTAGCATTCAAATAATTTAACATTATGGGCACTTCCAACTTACAACATTCTGGTCTCTAGGTGTAAAACTGGTGATCTGATACTCTTTACCATTTTGTTTGGCAGTCTTAAAAGTGTGGTCTAGGTTTGTGCATAGTCAATTATGGTATATATGGTACTTTTGGTGCTTTCATGTATTCACATTTCCAAGAAAGACTAGATCTTGCCAATGAGAAATTTCCACTTAAGATTGAAAAAACATGTGGTGTTTCTCGCTTGCTCGTTAAATTAATTTGTAGTTCAAGCAAGTTAAGAATCTTGGGGAAATTGACAACGATTGTTGTCTTAGAGTATTTTTAAATGACCTTGTTGTCTGAAAAGCTGTGTTCTTTTTAAATAGTGTGGTGCAGGTGAATTGATGAGCCTGTTGATGGCCCTAATGCGTCACACATAACTCCAGAAGCTTTAGATAGGTGTGAGGCAAGTCTGGAAGATATTTTTAACGGGCGGCTATTTGATTTGCTTGATGCAGCCTTATCCGATACTGTTTCCAGATTTCTTGTTGATATTCAGGTTAGTCTCTCTAATTCGATCACCATTATCTTCTCCAGATTCAGATTCTATTCTTTTTGGCTGAGTGCTTTTCCGATGCAAGTACTTGTGGAATTCGATACTTCTCTTCTTTGTATTTATATCTCTTTCTAATATCATTATCTACTTATATTTTTATTTGATTAGCAAATTAGGCAACTAGTTTTCATTTGCTATCATTGGTGGCTGACATTTATTTTGTGTTTAATAACCTCGATCTTTTACTTGCAACCATATGAAGTGTCTGATAATTCATCTAACTGGTGCAGCCATTCAGAGATATGGTTGAAGGAATACGTATGGACTTGTGGAAATTCTGATACAGCAACTTCGATGAGTTGTATCTCTATTGTTACTATGTCGCTGGTACAGTAGGATTGATGAGTGTTCCAGTTATGGGCATTGCACCTGAATCAAAGGCAACAACAGAGAGTGTATATAATGCAGCTTTCGCTTTAGGGATCGCAACTCAACTAACCAATATACTCAGAGATGTAGGAGAAGAGTAAGTATGAAGCTATATTTAATTCACATTGATCATTTCTCTAGTAACATGCCAAAATACATCGAAAGCGTGGTCTATTTCTCATATATAAAGTATAGTGTAATGCCTATTGCTCCATTTTGTTTCGAAAAAGTCGCAGGCGACTTTGCCATTCTTTTTGTTTCAGATATAGTAATTGCAAGTTGTTGCTTTACCTTCATATTACTCTACGTGGTTGTCTAGTGATTGTGTGTGGCAGGCTTCCACCGATCTTCATCACTTTCACGTTTCATCTTCATATCATTTCACATCAACACAAAAGACGAATTTCCTCAATGTTTCATCTCCTCAAGCTTTACATCTTCAATTACTTCAAGTATTGCTGCAATTTTAAGGCAATCTTTTTTCCTCACCCATCTTCTTCTTTGATTTTAATTGTTCGTAAGTTAATTTTGAATTGTTACAATGAGTTGTGTTTTCTTTGTTGTGTTAGGTGTTTATGCTACTGCAGTAGGTTTTGATCGGGGTTGCAGGGTTATTATAGGCGAGGGGCTGCATATTTGACAATTTAGAAGTCAATTACGCACTCGAAGATTTTCAACCGGTTGGTGTTATTTTTTGTAACTTCTTAAGCAATATCAACTGCATATATGCCAGCAGAAACTGGACGGGGATGAGTATAACTTGAACCGCTAGACCCTGAACTTTGCAACATGCTAACTGAATATGAAATTCATTTATTCCTTAGGTTATTTTCTTAGCCACGTTGCAACTGTGCAGGTTGGTATGCACTTCGTATATGGGAAGCTGAGTTTTTGTTTGTCCATTAATTAGTTGGATTGGTTTCTGTTATGAATTGCATGTAAGTTCACAATCTATGTTGCTCAAACTTAGAATATTGTTTTGTTCAATGTGTGTCGGATCTTCCAAAAGCTATGCACTTAAGAGGATTCAACACTGGTGCTGCCTGCAGTATTTTTAAAGGGTCCGAGTAACATAGATCATCGTAGCATTTCATTTCAGAGTGTTTGAAGTTTGATAGCTAACTGATTGTCTGCATTCTGTTGATTTACATTTGTTGGATATATATAGAGAGGTAAAACATGAGCAGTTCAATTGTTAGTTGTAGCCTGCCTATCAATTGAAGCCAAAATGGAAAGATTCATGTTCCTTTGATTGTTGATTTGTAGGTGATGAATAGTTTCGTTCATTCCTTACCTATGTTGCTTGGACCCATCAAAAATGTCGTCAGGTGTGTGTTGGATCCTCCAAATGTAGTATATTTTTGAGGATCCAACACGGGTGCGACAACATTTTTAGAGAGTCTGAGCAAGATAAAGTTCTTTACATGTTTGTCCTGTTAACAATTTATATATTTTCTAAACTAGATTCTATAGTAAAATCTCGAGTTTATGAAACAGGTTGGGAATCCAAATTTTGTGTTTGAAGGCAAAACTATACAAAGAATGGAACTTTTGGTACTAACCACATTGAAGTGGAGAATGCTAGCTTATACACCTTGCACATACATCGATTACTTTGTAAGAAAGATGAATGACGATCAATCCCATCAGAATGTTTTGTGATTAATCCAATTCATGATTATTGAATCCTGCAATAGTATCACCATCACATGAGGAGGAGGTGTGGCGCCACTTATAGCACTTGGACGAACTAATGATGAGGTGAATCTTTGTGCAATAGAACTTCTATATGATATATATAAATGCTTTCCTATGCCTGCTTGGTTGTTGCTCTTTTTCAACTTTCCGTAACTTGTGAAGGCCTAATTTCTTCCTCAAATTGTTATTGAATTGGGTCCTTGTATATCTTAAATTCATGTGTAACTTAGCTTACCATTAGTTGGTGAACTCTTATTCTATTTTCCTGGAAACTTTAGATGAAGTTAGTCGGCTCTTCGAACTTAAAAGAAAGAATTAACCGGCATGTCCAGTGATGGCAACCTGTCCACACTTGGAGAGTAAATTTAGGATAATAATTTTAACCTTTTAATTAGTTTGTTCTAGGCTTAAACTTGTCCACACAAGCTTCATCACAATAAATAAAATATAGTTCCTTCCATGGCATGATGGATACTGAAGCTTTCACTAATTCCACCTTAAAGGTTCTAAATAATCAAGTCACTAAATCTGCAAGTAGGTAGTAGTTTTAATAACGTCTTCCACATAATTTCTGGGTCATTCATATAATCTCTGAATATATTGTATTGTTGAAATATGCCATATTTAGGATGTAGCATCTTTTAGACATTTGTTTATGTACCTGCAAGTGGTTTTACCTGGCAGTGCAATGTCAATGATGCCTTACGCATTTATACAGAGAAATTTATACATGTCATCCTTTTCTGGAACATAAAACTAATATGTGAAGCAATAGTTCTGTTGATTGGCATGTAAATGACAAATGCAAGTACTCTCAATCATATAAGTTTCCTGCTTTCCGAACTATGAGTGAGAAATAAGCACAAGTATAATTATACTCATGTTATTATTCGTTTATGATGCAACACCTTCTAAGAAATTCGTTTGCTCTTTTCAGGAAAGCCTCTAAAATAGCTACCAACTATTTTTAGAGGCTACACAATCTTCAATAAGTATTTTTTGCCAAAACATAACAAGTAATGAATTTAGACGAGACTACTATGTGAATACATATGCTTCAGAGGAAAGAATATAACACTAAGAAACAATATTTGTGGCCAGAGAAACAAACGGGAGAAGATCACAAATGTTAAAAATTGCATCCGCTGAAAGTAATCTAGAATGTATGTACATGTAGTTTTGCTTTTCCTAAAAAAAAATTGTTGATGTCATTTGAAGGCCTGAAAATTCAGTGCTTGTAAAGTGCATAGAGACAAAAGATGGTCTCTTTGGTATCATTGAAGTAACGGCTACTTTTTGCTACTTATTCGTGTATATGAATTTCAGTTGTCCTACACTCATCTAGGTTCAGTGCAATAGCTTGCTCTTATGAAACTTATAAAGCTAAATTGTTGGGCCCATGCGCAGCACGGGCAATGAATCATCTAGTACCTCAAGATGAATTAGCACAGGCAGGGCTCTCCGATGAAGACATTTTTGCTGGAAGAGTGACTGATGAGTAGAGGATCTTTACGAAGAAGCAAATTCAGAGGGCAAGGAAATTCTTTTATGAGGTAGAAAAAGGTGTCATAGAACTGAGCTCTGTCAGTAGATGGCCGGTAAGTAGTCATAAAGTTACAGTTGATTGTATGTATCTGCCACTTTTTCTTTTATTGTTAATTGTTATGGTAGTGAGGTAAAAAACAATATGAACTTAAGTTTTTTATAGCGACACATTCCATCCTCCATCACATTGTTATGCAAAACAAAATAGGCTTCAGTTCAAAAATAGTTTCCTCTCATTTGGCTATAGTTAATATGGACTAATCGTCATACTAGTAGACATTGAAAGGTATCATAGTTTTCGATTTCTAGTTCTTAAATCCTCTAAATCATATGTTCCTTCATCACAGAGGAGAGGAAAAAGAGCTTGAACAACGTTCATCATAAACTGAAGGTATGTTCTGTGTCTAAGAGCACAAACTGTTTTAGTTTACCACTCTTGTTCTGTTTAAGCTGTATAAGCCCACTAAATGTTTCTATTAAAAAGGTCTTTATTATTTTTATAGAATGAAAAAATGATTAAATTGGTCCTTAATGTGTGGTAGTTGGATTATATTAATCCTTCATATATTTATATGGTGTAACTTTCATGAGATGGTAGGTCTGTGTATACTCTTACCTTCTTAAACTTCACTTATGGTCATAGAATTGTAGAAAAGTGATTATTTTAGTCCTAAACAGTCTCATTTTATCTTCTTATAAAGAAAGAAATCTTAACTCAAAAAATCTGCTAGAATACGTGAATCTGCAATCTGAACAGGCACAAATTGTTTTAGTTTACCTCTCTTCATTTTGTTTATCTTTATCAGCTCAATTTATATGCTTAGGTATATTCATATTTTTGTGTTCCAAGCATATACTGGATCTGCAATATGCTAGAATACCTGAATCTGCAATCTGAACTAAAAAAGTCTTTACACAATGCTGCAATCTGAACTCAAAAAATCTGCAATCTGCTAGAATACATTGTGCTGCCTGAACTAAAAAAATATGTGGTCTGCAATCTGCAATCTGGAACTGCTGCAATCTGATTTGTTGTACATGGTTTGTTTGATTTTTAATTTCTATTTTAAATGTGTAGGGAAATTGGACGTGATCAAATTTGAAGGGTCGCCACAAGTCAATTTGATCTCATTGAAGTGGATGATGAAGAGTTTTTGAACTATTATAAAAGTTTGAATACATTATATTTGATTTTGTGAAATATATTCATTGCTAGAATAAATTGAACTATTGTAAGAGTACTTTTTGAACTATTGTGTACACATATTTAGAATATTGCTTTATAAGTATGTGTATGTACACAAGACATACTATCTTTTGATGTTTTATTGCAAATCTATATATTTGAATTATTTATTAGCTAATTTAATGCTTGAGATTATTTATTGCAAAATAATATTGGTGTTTTTTAATTAGAAATTGTGGCATATAAATATTTTATAGCCAAAATGATATGGCCACACTTAAAAGTGTAGCCATAGGACTGTAAATTGTGTTATGCACATGGGCAAGGACTACACTTCAAAGCGGAGTCAAATATTAGACAGAAAAGGCAACACTTTAAAATTGTTGTCATACATTAGATAGAAAAGGCAACACTTACAAATAGTGGGCAATAAGGAAGCTAAGGCCACGCTTAAAAGTGTAGTTGTATGAGATAGAAATGTTGCTATTTGAGGTACATAAAAGCGTTGCCATTTTGCCTTTTAGGCTACGCTTTTAAGCATAGCTGATAAGGCAACACTCTAAGGTAACACTACTTTCGGGCACCCCTGGAAAAGTGTTGCTTAAAGTCTAAAAGTGTAGCCTTTTATCAAAGGCCACACTTTTTGCTAGTTTAGGCTACACTTTACTAGGGTGGCTGTAGGCCTAAAATGGTGTAGTGTCGGAATTAAGAAGTCCAGAAAAGGGAGTCAAGTGGGAGGTTACCATCCCATAACTGAGTCATGGCACCCTTCATGGAGTCTTTCACGGGTCGTGAAGGGCACTACAGCTCGTGGTGGTGCTCATGGAGCCTTCCAGTTCTTGGCCAAGAGGGGTTCCCCTCTCACGAGCCCTTAGACAGCTCATAGTGAACCTCACACCCCATGGTGGTAGCTGTGAAGGGGAGCAGAATCCACCTCAAGGACAGCCTCCTCCCACCAGCCCCTAGACGGCTATTGTAACGACTTGGAAAATGATAGATTGAACTAGAGCCTTGACGTGTGGGTTAGTGTGACTTTAGGTTGATGTCTAGGCTGTTTTAGAACCTAAATTGAGCAAGGAGGAAGTCTATGGTGCAAGCAAGGGCCTTAGCTAGAAAGTGTGAGTGAAAGAAGCCTTTTTCTTTGATGGGATGTTTGGCGATGGGGGCGCTGATCGCCCAAAGGGTTTGGCGAGTCACCCTTATGCCCTTATGGTCGCCTAGTGGGCTGCCTTTTTGGCCTAGCTACTGGACCAAAGGGCAACCCAAATGGTAGCTCGCCAAGCTGGTTGGCGTGTCACCCATTGGCCCCCTCCAATCGCCCTATGACCAGCCCCTTTAGTGAGCTCACTGGAACAAAGGGTGAGCCAACGGTGCACTTGGCGAGCCCAAGTGTCCAAAGGGCGAGCTAAGACGGGAAGATGCTGAAATTTTAAGTTGTAACTTATAGGGTCCTTAGTCCTTTTCCTAAGTTAAGTCCCTATTATTCTATTCTTTTCCTAGCAACTATATAAACCTTTCAAGACCTTTTTAGACCTAAATCCTCTCATTTAAGTCACTCCATATAGAATCAAAAGAAACCCACCACCTCTCAAATATTTCTCTCTCTAGAAGTTCCCAAAGAAGAAGAAGAAGAAGTGGGAGCTAGGGTTTTGGATTCAAGGCGTTTCTTCATCAAATTTCTTGGGGAATCTTAGTAAAGGTATGGTGATCCTTCATCTAGGGTTAGCTTTAATCCTAGAGTCAATTTCAAAGAAGTTTTTAAAGTTTTCAAGGTTCATGAAAAACCAAGGGTTTTACTCAATCTCATGGGTTCCTTCTTCAAACAATTTCAAATGATTTATAATGTCATATAATGATTGTATTGATGTTTAATTGATGACTTATGATGAAAATATTCTATGAACCCATGATTTCTCTCAATTACTAAATTGTGCCTTTATGAAGTGGGTTTGTTTATTATAAAAGCTTATAATGGTAATATGTCTAAATTGCCTTGGATTATTGAATTGTATCATTATCCATGCCTTAATTATGGTAAATTGTTAGTGTGTTGATTATTTAAGATTTATGTCCTTGAAGGCAAGTTTTGACTAAATTACATGTTGAAGTAGAATTGTGCTAGGGATGTTGATCCACTTGAAAGGTGGAGGTGTTTACTTACTAAGTATATGAATGTGAATTCCATGAAGTAAAGGTGATCATGTTGTGAATGTAAAGGTGTTATTATTGAAAGGTTATTTCTCAATTTGACACTCATGTATAATGATGATGTAATGTGAAGTGTTGTCTTCTATATATTGTATATCTTGGATTGGTAGGCTTAGGCATCCTTTCTTGAATAATAAATGTGTCTTGACTTGATGAATATGAATCGATAAGCTATGGCATTCCTTTCTATATATGAGTGATGAATGTGTCTTGACTTGATGGCTATGAATTGATAGGCTTTAGGCATTCTTTTCATAAATGATCTAATGTAATGAAGACTCTAGAATCGATAGGCTAGTGGCATTCCTTTCTTAATGAGTCAATGTACCATGAATCGATAGGCTATTGGCATTGCTTTCATGAGTATAATAATGTAATGAGGGACCATGAATCAATAGGCTAGTGGCATTATTTTCATGATGACCCTAGAGCTATCCTTGAATGTACCATGGATCGATAGGCGTATAGCATTCCATCCATGGTAATGATGTATCATGGGTCGATAGGCGTATGGCATTACTCCCTAATACACTAATGTAATGTGAATGAAATAATCTATAGGCTAAGCACCGAGTGGATATTATTAGATGGAAACTCACCCAATGTTCGGTTAGAGTTCCAAGGAACATCTTCCTATCCCATAACTATGTGCCCGCATAGGATATTAGCCAGCGGATTTCATCCAAGCTAAGGATTGATCAGAGCTAATGTTACCATTCTACCATAGGCAAGTGGAACACCTCTTTACGGTGTGGGGCTATAGGACACCGGATTCCATGTCTATCTTTCATGGTCTATGTTGGTTAAACACTTATTTCCAGCATGTGAGATGTGCATTATGGTTTCTTGAGTTCTTGAGAGGTTCTATGAAGTGTAGGTGGTAGTATGGGATGCCATCTATACATTACACGAGTAGAGTTTAATAGGGTCATAGTGAGCTCTCTAAGTCTTAATGACTAATGTATGAAAGTCCTCTAAATGAAGCAATTGAAGAAATGTTGACTCTTAAATGGTTAATGTGATATGCATGCCATTATAGGGTTATATTATAAGTTATTTTCCCTTGTCATGCCTTATGAAATGTTATGTCTCTTTTATATGGATATGGTGTAAAGGTGAAAAGGAAGGAATGGTAAGTTCACTTTTGGTGACCTTAATGTGGTGCCTTGATGAGTCCACAAATTGGACTCATTTAGGGCTTTATTTTAATAGAATTAGTATCCTCAAATGCTTATTTAGTCTAAATAGCTGATGAAAACACTTAAGTTTCATGTATTTGAAGTGTTAGTGAAAGCGTAGACACTTTGGCACAAGAAGGAACAAAAAGGCTAAAAAGAACGAAGAAGCTGAAGCCTGAGCATCGCCAAGCATGCTTGGCGATTTGCCGAAGGGACCCACTCCGCCCTTTGTTCCAGTACGTGAAGCTCTGAAGGAGAAGGATCAAAAAGGCAATGAAAGGAGCAGTCAGTGTTTCGCCGATCAGTTTCGCGAAGCAGAAGTATTCTGCCCAGTGATCCAGAACGCACAGATGCTGAAAGCAAAGAACAAATGGCGATGAACTAGAAGAAGGGATAATTGCCAAGTCATTCGGCGTTTGCAACTAACATCGCCGAGTGATCGTAATTTTTACTTTAGCTTTCTTATTTTCTATCAAGTTTGGAGAGGGTTTTTGGGAGACTTGGAGAGAGAAGGATTTCATCTTCCCCAAATTGGAAGTGGGTCTTCTCCATTCTTCTTCCTTTGCTTATATCAAGGTTTAATTTCTTATACCCATTTGATTTCTCTATCATTTTAGGTATAATTTCTTATTTCTTGATGTGTGGCTAAAACCCCATTCTTGGGGTGTGATTTAGCAAATATGTGTTGATATTATTGTTGGGTTTTCTTGCTGATAAGTTAGATGTATTTTAATGGTGATTTCACCTAGTGGTTGTGGTTTAATTTAATGGGTTTGTAGTTGCAAATACAAAACCACCCATGTGTTTGGCTTGCGAGAGAGAGAGGTCGTGAAACCAAGACCTCTAGACTGATGGCCT